AGTTGACGTGGGAATGTATTCTTAAAATTGCTTGGAGAGGAATTTTAAGATTTTTCAAAAAAATTAGTTTTGAGATATGCAAAAATTAACTTGAAAACACCTTAATAATAAAAATCTAAAAAAAACACACACACACACACAACACTTGCATAATACAATCAACACAATAAGAACAGGAACATATCATAATTTTGTTTGTCTTCTAGGAAAATCATAAAGAAAAGAACTGTTTTAGTTAATCATATGAGAGGTTACTCCAATCACGAAAATTCTGAATAACAGAAAACCATCAACCTTCAACTCCTCGTCCGGCTATGGCTTCCCTATACATCATGAGTGCTTCTTTCATTACCCTGGCTTGAGCCAGCATTTGAGCTCCTTTTTATCCCAGAGGGATGAGTGGGAATATATAGTAAGCGCTGTATCAACCGCCAGCTTTCCTAACTTGTCATATACAACAGGTGCAACTTGAGGATCATAGCGAACAGAAGCCATCAACAACATTCCGATGTAATCAGCTTTCAGTTCCATCCTACCAAGAAAATGAATACAGATGGCATATAATTTGTGCCACAAAATGAGCTAATTGACTAGAAGCTTGATAAGATTATTGAAACACGTTATCTTTGAAAATAGAGAGAGATTATAAGGCCAGGTATAAGAATAATTTGAGACAAAATTTCAATCAGAAACCTAATTAATTAATTTAATCAATAATATAAGAATATCTTCACTTTCCTTCGCTTGTGGTACAAAAGAATGCGTTGTGTTTTGTCAATGCGTAGTCCTACGATTTCAGCAAAAATTTTGAAAGCAACATGTGGGGAAAAGATAGCGCAAAAGCCCCCCATAATTAAGACAACATACGACAAATAAATAAAGAAAAAAAAAACCTATATTTAACTAATCCCATAGGACAAATACTCTCGTATTGATTGATTATTGAAGAAATTTTTTCATCATCCCTAGTTGTTGCGGCCTCGACCACCACTCCAACCATTTGAAAAGCGGTTATTCCTACGGTCAGAAGAACCACCAAAGCCACCTCTGCCACCTCTTCCTCCTGAGAACCTACCACCACCTCTGCCCCCGTTTCTGTCACCAAAGCCACCCCGCCCACCACTGCCAAATCCAAATCTTCCTCTTGACTGATCCCTCTCTTGCAAACGTGGCAATTCCTTTTTCACCACATTCAAGCTAACACCAGCTGCATTTTCCGCACCTGGAAGAAGAAAATGAGAAAACAATGTAAACCCAAAATTAGAAATCAAATGCTGGATAAGTACTGAACGATGGAACTTAAATTTACAGCATTGTTTTGAAGCAGGTTGTTG